TGTTTCCTCCTTAGACAAAGCATCTTTTCTTTGAAACCTTCCCATGGAGGAAAGCATCCCCTCCATTCCCTAGCAAAGTGTCGTGAGCAGGAATCTGCTTTGCACGACATCTTTTGCTTTTTTCTGAGCAGAGCTGGTAGAGATCAGGAGTATTTTAGCTCACGAGCAAAATCTACCTCTTGTTTTCTGCCTTTCTTCAGCTCCCTGCCCACCATGACCCTCTCTGCTCCCCGTGACTTTACCAGAGCAGGGCTTATTCCCGGGGCATGTGCATCTCAGCCCTCCTGGGGTTACTGGTGAGCTGGTTCCTGTTCCCTTGGTTCTCCCAAAAGACCCAGGCTGACTCCTAGGAGCTGCCCAGAGCTCTGTTAGTCTGGAGTCATCGGCAAAACAAGCGTCCCCCTCCCAACCTTGGGGGCTCCTGGGGTCAAAGGGTCCCTTGTTCTGCATTCAGGGGCGAGTGCGTGGCATCGGTGCAGCAATTCCTGCATCCCGTTGGCTTTCAGGGAAGGAAAAGGAGATGAAGCGGGTGACCCCGTTTCAGAGCCCGACGCTTCTCTCGCCACCGCTCTCGCTTCTCCAGCCCCGACCTGCACCGTGTGCGCTGCCGGCGCCTCTGCCCAGCTGCTGTGGCCGGCTTGGCATCGAAGGATGCTCCAGGATGGTCCGTGCCGGGACATGAAGAGGGTGAGTCTCCTTAAACCTGCCGCCTGGGACCCCGGCAGGTGTGGGGACACTTGCCATCGCCGCCCTGCACCCTGCACAAGGAGCTGGGTGCCCTCGCCCCCAGGCCTCCCAATTCACTCTCTGCTGACTGGGGAGGCATCGAGCTCGCTGCCCGGCCCGGGCAGTGTTGAGCCCTGTCTGGTAGCCCCCAGGACGGGCTTTTCTGCAGGATCCAGCCGGCGGCAGCTCTGCGGATTAAGTGCCTACGGAGGGAACTGCACGCCGTCGCCTCCGGCGTGGCTGCAATGCCCGCAGAGTCTGTCCAAAACCTGTTGCCTTTCGCTCCCTCCCTTGGTGTGTAGCAGCCTTGCCGTGTTTCAGCAGGTTTTTGTTTTGTGTCTGTGTGTCTTGGGGGGCAACAGGAGGGAAATCAGCTCCAGGGACCACGAGCATCCCTCCGCTCTCTGCTCTCGGTGTCACCTCTCCGGGGTCCCAGCATGGCGATGCTCGGCGGCACTGCAGGTTTGCCGGCCGGGCGCCTTGGTGCAGTCGTGTTCTCTGTTGCAGAAGTGTTGTTGTCCCAGTAAATCACAGCCTGCTTGAGTGCCCGGTGCGAGTCCTTTGTTTCGTTGTGGGTTTCCCGGGGCTGTGCCTGCCCTCTTCCCCGGGGCCACCCCAGCTGGCTGGAGCATTGTGTGGGCTGTCCAAAAAAATCCCGTCCTACTTCTGTGCATGAGTTAAGATCTGGATTTCAGAGGGGAAGGAGCTTCCATCAGGTTCTGGGGAGCTGTGTTTTTGCAAACCCCAAATTGCACAGCGCTTTGTAAGCTGATGGATCTGAGGTTTTAAAAACCAGGGGCAGTCAATTTTAATTCTTTTATGAGGCAGAAAAGAGGAGCAGACAAATCCTGCTACCATCTCTATCTCCAGTATCAGGGCTTTCAGCATTTACCCTGTCACCCAGGCCATTGGAAGGATGCCAAAGTCCTTCCGCCTTCATCCTACACCTTCCTTCATTAGTGTTGTTACTGCAGGTATTAATAAAGCAGCCATCACGTTTTCCAGCCCAAAGCAGGAGGTAGGAGCTATGTTGTCCCTTATTTTCCTCTTGGCAAGCAAGGACCTGCTCCCATGCTCTCCTGCCTTTGGTGACCTATGTATATATACATATATTTAAAAAAATAGATAGTTATGGCCCCATTTGTCCCCTCTGGAGCAGAGCAGAGGGGCTGGCTGTTTCCATCTCATCCCCCCACCTCCGCCAGCCCCCTGTCTGTGCCCACCAGGGAAGGGCACTGGGGCAGGGGTTGGTGATTGCTTTCTAATCCTTTTTCCCTTCCCAAATTCTCCCCCCTGCCCCAGCGCTGCCCGTCTTTGCTGCACCCTTGGCAAAACCGCGTGGATGGAAAACGCTGCTTTCCCCATCATCTCGCCCCGGACCGAGCCGCTGGGACACACCACATGCTCAAAAAGCGCCCGGCTGTGCCTGCCCGCTGTGCCACAGCAACTCTGATTTATTGGCTGGCCTTCGGTTGTCTAATTGGGCCACTAATGAGAGCAGGGCTGGCTGCTAGGAGAGGCTGGGAACTGACATCTTCTCCGGGGACGGAGTGGGTCTCCCCAGGAGTGGGGACGGGTCTCTGCGGCCACAGCATCTCTGAAGGGTCCCCCTCAGCATCTCTCTTTGCATCCAAGGGGATTTGCACCCGTTTAAGTCGTCGTCTTAAGCAAGGGTGCTCCGATGCTGTTGCCAGGGTGACTGCAAGTGCCTTATTAAGAGAAATTAGTTTGGATACAGTTGTCAGCCGTAGCTTAATAAATAAGCCCCTTTATGCTGTGTAAATAAATATTTGCACGCAGTGTCCGCACGGGGAGGGAGAGGTTTCCCAGCCCTGGGTGGCGTCGCACAGCAATTGATGCTGAGGAGTGTTTTGGGATGAGAACTGGCCAAACTGGGGCAACCCTGGTGCAAAACTGCACCCCTGGGGCTGCCGGTGCGGGTCCCAGGGGGGTTATGGTGGATGGTGGGACCCCGCAGAGACCCCTCCACGTCCCCCCCTGTGCCAACATGTGCCACGGTGGGGAGATTTTGCTGCCAAACATCCCTGCCTGCCAGGGCCACAGCTCCTCCTCCGCCGGGGCTCATTAGCCAGCAACTGAAGGAACCTCTCCTTGCTTTGAAGGGTTATGAAACCTGCGGGAGAGGGGGAGGATGGGAGAGCTTAAAAAAGAGCCGTCGTGTCGTCCCCCGCCCCGCAACCCAGCCATCGCCTGCCGAAAAGGGCTGGCGATGTGCCGGCAGTTATTCAAGCACAGATTGCGCCTCTGCCCCCATCCGCC